TGCACAGTGCAATGGATTCAATCCCAAACTGGTCAATCCCAAACTGTCACCTAGGGGTATCCCAACTGGGATAGTCTATACCCAGACACGACCCTGGCTGGGACTGCCAGTCCGGACTGCCTTCAAAACGGCCAGGGGTGGTGGGTTTGGGGGGGGGTCTGTCTGGGGCGGCAGTCCTGGCTGCCAGTCGACAGTGTCGTGTTTGGGTATGGATCCACGGCCACCATTTGAAGTACGGTGATTGGACACGAATTTATATACGCTCCAGGGTCGGGTCCAGGAGCGTCCCATTTGAGGTTCGGGTCCAGTCAATGTGGATCCCTAGGTGTCGACATGGTATCACCGTTGATCTCACCACACACGATTGATCTCAACACCAGGTGATGACCTGTTGGAGGCGCTCGCCGCCAAGGACGTTCCGTGTCGGAGAGAGACCGAGGATTCGAGAAAGGAAAATCGCCTCGCTGCCCGAAAAGGATCGAATTTTCGACACCAGCGTTCTACCAACATGTTTTCATGAATCCCCACATTCGGTGTAACTCAGTGAGTTCACTGGTTCCACTGAGTGGGGGGAACCACTGAGTGGGGATTCATGAATCAATCCCCTCACTCAGTCGAATTCCTTCCCCCACTCACTGAGAGCAAGCTTCCAGCCCACCGGTCACACGAGGTCGCGTTCGTTCGTTCTGGGAAGCTGAGATGCAAGCGCAAGCTTGGCTACATGCGCCCAGAGGCCAAATCGGGCGCCCACCATCACGAGTGCGTAACGAGCTAAAACATGGCAAAAGCATCAACGCCGCGGGATGGGGATGTTCTTGCACTTGGAGACTTGGAGTGTGTGTTTTTGTTCAGAAGAAGTCCTCCTGAGCTTTCAGGCCAGGGCCTGTTCTGTGGGGTCCAGAGAAGACATTCGCTTCTTGTTTCGTGTTTTATCTGTGAGTTGGACACTTAGGGGGGATTTTGTAATTTGTACGACTGTAAGACCTTAGTTTGGTGTGTTTGGGCAGATTCTGGGAACAACTTCTCCGGAACACCAAGACTTCGTCCGAAACTTCTCAGCCGCTCCCCGCAGAGGACTGCCCGGGCTATTACTTTTCCCATGCCTCCGGGGAGACCTGCAAGAGCCCCGAGGTGCGGGTGTGCGCTGTTGCGCGGGCTCGGCGGCGCGGGCTGGGGTCGGGTCATGATCATTCATGATCAGCCTGGAAGATGAGAGAATGATCCAGCCCTAGGGATCCAGTCGTACCTTCTCAGGTACGGTGGGACTGGGGTGGGTGCCAGGGTCCAGTCGTGCCATACCTGAGGTTCGGTACTGGATCCCGGATGGACAGTCAGAACCGAAGTTAGGTCATCACGGCACTGGGCCATTGAGAAGAAAAGAGAAGAGACTAGTAACAAGAAGCCACTACCAGCAGTCACAAGACTGGGTGCTTTATGGAGGTAGTCGGGGTGTCCACGACATCCACTCGCTGGATGGGACGAACCACACCACCCAGGCCCTCCATGTGACTCCTGGATCGTCAGGCCAGAGACGGGTTCCATGGGTCTTCCGTGCGCGGATTCGCGATGGGAGACGACGCGGTAGTGGCCACCGGTTGCCTCGTTGGATCGTGAAACCAGCGGATCAGTCCACGACTGAGTCGGCATGTGAGTCCACAATGGCACGAACTCAATGGCATGTGAGTGGAATCATCACCCAGACACTCCATGCATGCCATATATGCCGCCCCATTGACCCCTCAAACCACCCCAACTGATCGGCAGTCCTATGGCAGTCCCATGGAGTGTCTGGGTCATGGTATGCTTGGTCCACTCATGGTCTGCGACCGGGCGACCGATCGCGACCGCGTGCGGGAAGAGGCCTATGGGAAGTTGGAGCTCTTGAATGCCATTGGCGCGGCCAAGAAAGCGCAGAAACGGGTGGTGATCATTGCCGTGCCCTGGCAGTGTGGGTCCTTGGAGGTTGTTCAGATTGGATATGAAGTCTGCTTGGGATGTCGTCTCGCAACGGCAGGTAACCAAACCTCATGAATTCCATGATTCTACCCCAATCAACAGGTATGGAGTAAGTCCTGGAGTATGGCTCTTAGAGAGCATAGTCATTTTCAAGCATACACGAACCCACCGCGGGACCCGGTCAGGACCCGGTCACCGCGGCGCCCCAGGTGGGTGGTGGCGTGAACGGCAACGCCACGGGCATGATTGCGGCTGCTGGGCTGTCCGGGCTGGATGGCTGGATCGGGCCACAAGGATCGAGTTGGAGTTCAGGAAGTTCAGTGGATTTGATCCGGAGGGTTTTTGCCTGTGGGTTGAATTGGGGAGATCCCACTAAAGCAACTAGAACAGGTGGAAAGTTTGGGGAACGTTTATTTGTCATTGGGAAACTGAAGGAGTCAGAAGGGATGCAGATGGGGATGGGTCGTGACCCAGCTGGAGCTGCAACACCTGGTACCATGCAGCGAACGACGACCCGTCCCCGTCGGTAGGTCAAGCAAGATGTCCTGGTACCATGGCCCACAGCCAGATGGAGGGTGTGTCCCAGTAAACCAGTATACCAGTCGGTCAATGATCATGATTCTTTAGATGGATGGAAAGGCCTGCAACCTAACCATCATCCACTAGGCCCTGGGTAATGGAATATACCGCGTTAGATAGAGATTAGAAGGGGTTGAAGACGGATGAAGATGATTGGAGTGGGAGATGTTTTCGGATCCCGGATGCGACGCTCGTTGGCCCTGATGCTCGAGCAAACCAGGCTGAAGGAGAAAATGGTCAAGCAGAGGGTTGTTTGGAATTTGGGGGCAGAGCAGCCTCTCAGGTGGTGCAGGAGTTTTTTTGAGTTGCCAAGGATCCAGCACTTGCAACTCAAGTTAGGCGGGTCCCCTGGTGATTTTGGGCTGAATTCACAACTGACAACTCCGACTCATCTCCAGTCTAACAATCTACTATGATCTACTCATCTCATATAGCTCTTTCCCATGGTATTCTGTCAGCCACTCAACAGCCACTCACGATCTCCTCACCTCTCCACCCCCTCCATCCTGGGATGGCCATCACCGCCGCCGCCTGGCAGTGTGTCAGAGGCCATGGCTGGGTCGGTCTTCATCGAGGTGCCCACCACCCTGATGCACTACAACGACGCCACGACCTCGGCGAAGAAGGCCTTCAGCTCCTTGGAGACGTCATGTGGCGCGACCCGGCGACCCAGAGGTCGGGAAGAACGCGGGGCTCAAGCTGTTGGAAGGTGCAGAAAGAACCATGATTGGATAAAGAACCAGCATATGATGTTCAAAGATGTTCAAAGTTTAATAGTTGTGTTTCAATTATGTGTTGTTTTTTTTTAAATGATGTTCAATGTTTGATGAGTGAGCTTTATTTAAACAGGCCATGTCAAGGAATTGGGGCGATCTGGAACGGGTAAACCTGCGCCCCGGTCGATTCCGACGCAACCTGCGCCCCGGATGAACGGGAGACAGACCTCCTCCAGCAATCGAACTGCTTCTACTTCGAAGACTTCAAGGCGTTCTCGGATGCCACGAGGGGAGGCTCCAGGTTTTGGCTTTGGTGTGGCTATACTTTCCATGTGACCACCCTGGTGTTGAGTGTCGTGTTTGGGCCAACTGACAGACTGGGATGCCCAACTACTCGCTGAGAGACTGGGCCAATGGGGTAGAGCATGATAGAGCTGCTCATGATTCTTGAAACTCGACACGATCAGCTCGGAAACATGGCAGTTTACCTTTCCCAGACACTCCATGTATGCCATATATACCTACATTGACCCCTCAAACCACCCCAATGTAGGCATATATGGCAGTCCCATGGAGCGTTTGGGTTTGGTTTCAGCTCGGAGAGTGCTCGGAAACACGTCGCACTCCGACAGAAACCACTTCGCCGCACGTGGCGCGCGCGCACGCGCGCGCCAAGACCGCAGCGCCCTCTCCTGACTCTCCGAGAAAGCACCGTCGATCCAAGGTTTGGTGGTCAACGGACAGTGCCCTGGGCTGGAGAGGCAGTACATGCCCAATGTGTGTGTATAATGTGGCTTCCAATTGTGCAACACATGTCGCCTTTGGGGCTCGTTTTCTGGATGAAAAGGCAGAACTTCTAAGAACCCCAGTTCGGCTATCCCAGTTTGGTCTCCCAGGTATCCCGGGTCTTTTTTACGGTCACTTAACCTCTTGTTGGTCGGAAGATCCCCAGGTCTGCGAGGTCCATCGCCAGAAAAGGCCCTCGGAGCCAAAGCCTCAAAGCCTCAGAGCCATAGACGAGGCCGGTCGGTTTCTTTCAATTCGGTATGAGAGGTCCAAAACCACAAGGGAGACGAGGGAGACGAACCAATACTGCATGTGGCGCAAACCAGACGTACCGTTATGGCACACCCAAGGCTTGGTGGATCGGTGGACCCGAAACCTCAGACATCACCTTGGTGCCATGTTCTCACCCTTTGAAACCGATTTGAGTCGAGTGAGGAACGAGGGTTGGTGGAATGCAGATGATCGGCTTGTTGTGCGGCCTTTGGGAGGTCTCTCTCTCTCTCTCCCCTGCTCCTCTCTCTCTCTCTCTCTTTGTGTGTCTGAGGTCCTCAGGATCATGTTGACGTCAATTGGTCAATTAGATCGTCCAGTCCCATCCACGTCCAGTAAAGCCTGGTCCTGAACACCTGCACAGCCTGTACACCTTGTGACAAAAGAGGTATGGTATGGAGCTCTTAGATGTTGATTCATATGACCAACGACCAGGATGTCATGAGCTCCGTTCCTGACCTCTTTGGGGGGGTACCGATGGATAGCCTGATTCTGTGGACCTCATCAAGCTCATACCTGGCCAAAAGCAATGACTCTCTGACTCCAAAAAGCCATTGGAAGTGGAAAAGACGCCCCCGAACACGACCATGTTGCTGAAAGAATAGTTGAATAGGGGGGTGAACTCCATTCCACGTCCAGGGGATGTGTTTGTGGGAGAATATTTCTTTTCGTTTGGGTGACCTTTGTAGCTAAATGTGGAGAAGAGCATCAGTTTCAAAACTCCCACAGCCCCTGAGGAGTTGTCGAAGAGCATTTGCCCTGAGGATCTTGTCGAAAAACATTTTGGGCACCTTCTATTTGCCTCAGCTGGTCTTCTGCATCAGCGAGACCTTCCTGACTTTGCCACCTGGAGACTCTTTTTTGAGACCTTTGGAGAGAGAGAGAGAGAGGGAGGGAGGGAGGGAAGGAGCAGGCAGGAAGGAAGAACTTAAAAACCACCCACTTTCCACCGTCCAATTCCTTTCTGGTTGTTCGAATCAACCACTCGGCTATTTTTCAGTTAACTGGCTTCTAACTAAGGAGCCAGCATGAGTGAGTGCACCAAGCTGCACCTGGTCCTTTTCAGGTCACTTCTCGTAGTAGGCCAGCAGTTAGAATACCTGATTTTCTTGAACCACAGGGTCTTACATTCTGAGTGCTAAGGCTACTACTATAACCTTTGTTGAGTCCCTTTTGACTGGCTCCGTCGGGGGGGCCAAGGTCCAAGTGCAGCGTCCATGCTGCCGTGGGCGAGGCCTGCAAAACGCGCCTCGGCTCAGTGTCCGAGATCCGTACGAAGTCCGTCGCCGCGGCGTGTCCGACGGACGGGGAGTGAGAATTGGTCTGTGGATCTGCCTCATGATCTTGCCCTAAGAATCCGGGGCCCTCGAACACAGTTGAGCAGCTTCAAAAACCTCTATGATGAAAAGTGTGCAAACTGTAATCTCACATTCTTTCGCGAAAGCCAAAACGCAGGTCGCGAAAGGTTCGCGAAAGAACCCCAGAAGAACAGCGTCGCGAAAGATTTCGCGAAAGTCGAATTTCTTGTGCATGTCGTGTTGTTTATGTTGGGTGACCGTATTTTTATGCAGGCAGCCGCAGCAGGCCAGCCAGCCAGCCAGCCAGCCAGCCAGCCGCAGCAGACCAGCCAGCAGCAGCAGCAGCACTGAAGAGCAAGTGTTTCAGGGGAAAATCGAAAAGCCCAGACGAATTTCCGCGAAAGCCGCGCGAAAGCCTCGCGAAACCGCGAAAGTCGAAAATATCCGGGAAAGGTATCTGGCCCCAGCAAAAAGTTTCAGCAAGTTTTCCTCCTCTTCTACAACTCCTTGTGCCAGGATGTTGCCGGAAAGAAATTTGTTCAGTTTTGACATATCGGATAACTCATATAGATCAATCACTTTATTGTACAATATCCCAATCGAATTTCCCAATCGAAAAAGAATCGCCGCGAAAGCCGCCGCGAAAGCCCCACATAACACCACACCTTCCGCGAAAGCAAGAATGCAGGCCGCGAAAGCTCCGCGAAAGCTTTGCGAAAGCAAACCTGGATTATACAAAAAAGTAATAGGGGTTTTCGAAGCTGCTCAGTTGACAATAGAGCCCAGACACCGAAGAGGTCAGGTTAGCGGGTTCACCCCTACCATGGAGGGCCCGGACTCGGATTCTTAGGGTAAGAGATTGTGAGATCGTTGGCTGTGAAATTGGATCTTCCGAATCTTAAGATCGTTGAGGTCTTTGGTAGGTGTTAGCCCTTGAGATGGTTCTTGCAGGGCTTTGGAAGAGGCGGGATATGGAGGGATCGGACCCTCATGTGGCGGGTCTCAAATCCCTAGGTCTGAGGACCAGCCGGGCTGTTTGGACTTTCGGAGAGGAAACCAGTTGGATCGACGGCTTCATTAGAGGCCTCACCGTCACCGCTCAATAGGTCACCTTTCTCGATTCCAAAAGCTCGGACCCTCAAGAACAGACTGATCCCAAACGCGACTAATGGGACTGCCATAGGACTGCCGATCAGGTGAGGTAGTTTGGGGGTCAATGGGGCGGCAGTCCGGACTGGCAGTCCCATTAGTCGTGTTTGGGGTATAAGATGATAGAAGTATACCCAGACACGACTAATACTGCCATAGGACTGCCTTCAAAACGGCCAGGGGTGATTACTTCTATATGGATGTGGGTCAAAATCCAGGGACCCTGGTTGGCCACTGAACATGAACAGACTAGTAGCGAGGTGAACCTGCCAGGGTTGAGTCGGGGCTCTGGGATTTGACCCACAGCCATATATATATAACCGATTCTAACCCAGAACTTCAAGTTTTTAACTTACTTTATCCCACCTGGTAGTCATGATCATGATTCAACACTTCTAAGAGTCTAAGGGTCATGTCTGGACTTCGATTCTAACCCAGACCTTCAAGTTTTTAACTTACTTTACCCCACCTGGTAGTCATGATCATGATTCAACACTTCTAAGAGTCTAAAAGTCATGACTGGACTTCGGCAGGGCAACTCAGTGGCATTGGGGTTCCATGGTGAGTGACTCTGAGCTATACGAAGGAGCTGAGCTCCTTCACGGTGGGGACTTGAGCGAGAAGAAAGCGAGGTCGACCAGTGATGTGCTTTTGGAGGGCCAATCTCACTTGGGACCAATCTCATCGTCGCCGGCTGAAGCACCAGATCCCAGAGTCACCCCGGTCGTTTGCGACCAGAAAAAAAACACATGTCTGAGCACGCCGAGTGGGTCGGTTGGGTGATTGATCCATGGTGGTTTCGGTGCGTCCAATGCGACCAGCGACTGTGCGCGGTCGGTGTTACAGGTATAAGACCCAAACGCGACTAATGGGACTGCCATATATGCCTACATTGAGGTAGTTTGGGGGTCAATGTATAGGCATACATGGAGTGTTTGGGGTATATGATGGTAGAAGATGGTAGAAGTATACCCAGACACGACTAATACTGCCAGTCCGGACTGCCTTCAAAACGGCCAGGGGGTGGATTTCAGGGGTCTGGCTTGATCGGTCGTCTTATGCCAGGTCCCGTGAGTCATGTTTGGGATAGGCCAGGTGCTTCCGTCCGTCCCTTCACTCAGCCCAGCATCACCGCAACAGCTTGAGGATGGGTATGTTGGGCATCGCCAACAGCTCCACTGGGCAAAAAGACTGGCATAACATCTTGGGCGGTGTCGAGCACCTGAGAAGTGAATGGGTGAGGTCCGGACCTGGGATGTTCCGGACCTGGGATAGGTAGGAATTGCGGGGGTTAGGATGAAATGATTTTTCCTCTCTACAAACAACAGTGAGGGTGGGATGTTGAGGACACAGGTTTTCACTGGCGCCAAAATGCATCAACATGAGTCAACTGTGCCTGAAATCATTTGATGGCATTCTGTGGAGTGGAAGGATGGCCCCAACAAGGATGAGCCCATCTCCGAAGCGCATAGAACACCCTGGTTTTGGGGGTGGTGAATGGACACCTCGAATCACCTCTAAGGAGCTATTGTTAGACACCGGCCCGGGGGCCTAGGTTTGAATTTTTACCCATACCAGTTGCGCCATGTTCAACCACCCCTGGGCCTGCTCGGCTGTCACCTGCCGTTGTTCCGACCCGCTCGCGCGGCGCACCCCCGGCGCAGGGTGCGGCGTTAGTTCCGACCAAGCCAAGCCAGACGAAGAGCCAGTGACATTGGAGCGACTCGCCGATCCCAGGTTCGCCAGCGACTTCACCAAGATCATTGAGACCGTCGGAGGTGGTTGGAGATGAGAAGATTGGGTGGAGATCAGTCCCCTCTACAGGGTCCGACTCAGGTCCAAACTGGTCAACCTGCAAAACCTCAGACCGAGTGGACTTATTTTTCTTATCAGACTCAGACGTGACCCTGGATCCTCAATATGGAGGGATTGAACCCTCTCAAATCCCCAGGTTTTGCGGGGGCCAGTCGCACTGTTTGGATGACAGTGTGGCTGAGTCCACTTTTCGACCACTTCTGAGACTTGTATATACCTTCCAGAACTTTCCAAGTGTTGAGAAACATGTTCATGCAACCTATGCCCACATGTTGTGTTCTTCCCCTTGTGGGGTGGTTCTTCTGCTTCAAACAGGTCAACGTAGCGATCATGAGGGGTTAACAAAGGGATGGAGTCTTTCTCAGCCTGAATTTTTTTTTCTGATTGCGCATGATTAGGTGAATTTTGACGTTCCCGAAGTGGGTCAATCCCCTTATTTGCTGTGTCCCAGACACTCCATGGGACTGCTGATCGGCAGTCCTATGGCAGTCCTATGGGTCGTGTTTGGCTGTTATTTGGTTCCCTATCGTATTAACCGGTTCCTGGACAACAAACCCAAGTCAGTGTTTCCAATGTTCCATTCCCTGACCCGGCGACCCGGCCCCGTCTCTAGCAACCCGGCCACCACACACTGTAACTCCGTCGCTTCCCCTGTCCGCCAAGACTAGTCTCAACAGCGCACATGATATGTCAAGACAGTCGAGCCAGACGAGCAAAAATCTTCGACGAGCCAGACGAGCAAATGATATGTATGTGAAAACCTTTGTTTTTGCATGGTTCTTGAGGGCCCCTGGTTACATGTAAGGGTCATATATGTAACTATTCCAGTCCCATGGATTGTTTCGGTTTGATCCCGACACCGCTCGAAAACACGGCAGGTTTCGGCTCCACGACAGCTTCATTTGCAACACCAAGAGAGGGGGATGTGCTGTTCAAGGGCCTAACATGACGGCCAAAAGGATCAAATTGACGGCGCAATGAGACCATCCAGCACAGTTCCTGAAACCAGGTCAATTGGACACCAACAGGGCCTGGGCCTTTCCCACCCAATATCACCCAACCCTCCATGCATTTCGGAGACCTGGCAGGGTTCGGACCTTCCCCGGCATGTTTGGACCTTCCCCGCAAAACAGCACCTCGAAGCACCACGAATCGTCGTCGGTCTCCCCTTCCGGACGAACGGACGAACGGAGGCTTCGAGGAGCTGATCCGGTTTCTGCAAGCGACCCGCGAATTGAAAGCCAAAGCCTTGGCGCTGGGGGAGGCGGGCTGGCGAGCGGAGAGCGTGGCGCGGGAAGAGCGGGTGGTGGAGGGCGGTGGCGGCGTGGTTGAGAGGATGACCGAGGTGGAATGATATGGGCCCGTCCGTATGAAAACATGTTTGGGGTATGACATGGGATACTGATACTTATATAGGGCCGGTGTGTGTGAAAACATGTTGGCTTTGGGGGTATGACATTGGTTCAGATGAAAAAAAGGAAAGGGACCTTACTGTAGTATAGTCAGACTAAGTATGGGACCCATCGATGTTCGATCATGCGTTTTGTTGTGTTTTTCGGTGTGTATGAGCTCGTTCCAGTTTCAGGTTGTATGTTCTCACCCAGACGCGACCGGGCACCCGAATCCTGAGGGGTCGGACCCGAATCCTTTGGAGGGGTCGGACCCGAATCCTTTGGAGGGGTCTAGGGTTTCTCACCAATCTCTATGGTTGTGAGGGACCAGTCGGGCTGTTTTCACGGAGCGTTTGAGCAGGTATATAACTTGTTCAACGACACTGTCTACTTTTGTTTGACTCATTTGTCTTCTTCCAGAAGTCTTTGAACGTTGTTTTGGAGTTTTTGCTTCGTGACCTCTGAATTGGGACGAAACATGGCTGCACGATCTTCGCCCAGTCCGGTCGTCTGTCCAAACCGACACCTACCGGTACGTTCACGGTACTGGTCGGTCAACGTACCGGGTCGGTCAAGGTACATCGACTGGCAGTGACACGTCCCAAGGGACGGCCGGACTTGATCGGACTGGCAGTCCCAGACTGGTCGTGTTTGGGTATGAGTGAAGAGCACAGTGACGTCGTGTCTGGGGCGTCGTCAGTCTGGGGATCTGTCCCGGAATGACTTTCGTGGGGCCCAGGTGGGAGGTTGTTGACTCAGACTGTGACTGACTACCACTAAGAACGACACTCACATGGTTAAAGCATGTTAAAGCCATGCTTGGACTTAATATGGGCCAGGTGTGTTTTCACTTGAAAGTCGTTTCAGCCAATGTGTTTTGGTCGTGTTTCCCCTTGTTGGCACTGAAAGGATTGCTCTCTTGCAAGACATAGACATGACATAGATCATAGACCATATTATGTAGGAGAAGGAGAGGGTTTATATAGGTTTGTTGTATTTTTGATCTTTTATCTTTGTATGAAGAAGACCGATGAATCCATGAATCACATACTTCTCAGGTGAAACTCTCTGCTTCCCCCCCCGAAGTCAAATCGCTCAAGTCTTCCATCCAGCCCTGCAACAACTCATCGAGTTGGCACTTCAAGCAAGCTCCTCTTTCAACCCCCAGCCAAGCGTTTCCCTTTGCCTTTTAGGACCCAAACACTCGGATCCACTGAGTCTAACCAAGTCTCACCGAGCCGAGCCAATCTCCAGGAGTTGGGCGGCATGCGCATGGAACGCGCCTCCTACGGGCAGATGGCGAACGTGGCCAAGCACCGCGAGCGCCGCTTGCGGGAGCTGCGCCAGGTGTTCCACGGCGCCTTGGGAAGGAAGGAACGCGGAGGAAGAGGGTCCAAATCACGAAAGCTGCAGCTTTAGCTAGCTGGAGTCTGTCTTCCTTTAGCAAGGAGGGGTGGAACCCGCCGAATATATATCACGGATATACCCCCCGCCCTCCGGTTCAACTCCCCCTTCGCCCCTGACCGGTTCTCAGTTCCCAACGTGGCCGCTGTTGCTGTTGCTGCTTCTTTGCCGCTGCTGCTGCTGCTGTTTCTATGTTTCTGTGTTGCTGCTGCTGCTCGGCTTGCACCAACCACGGTTTGCACCAATCACCGTTTACGTCAAACCACGGTTTACACCAAACACCGTTTACACCAACCATCGTTTACACTAAACCGCGCTTTACACCAATCCACGGTTTACATCACAACCATCGTGTACACCCACCGTTTACACCGACCACGGCTTCCACCAAATCACGGTTTACACCAAACCACGGCTTACACCAACCATCGTTTACATCAAGGATTCTTACATATTCTTACTTCCGTTGATCTCCTTGCATCCCAAAGACACGCACGAATCCGGTCCGACGGCACCATCGCATCTCCCAGCACAAGAAAAGGGGTACAGCATGGTATGGCCAAGAAAGAGGCCCGAGCTGAGTGTTCGACCTTCCCAGGTCAGTTGTCCAAGGAGGCCAGGGACGCCGTGATCCAGTTCCTCACAGCACCTCAGTGGCACTTGGCCCCCAAACAACACCGTCCACAGCTCCGCCGGCTCCGCCCCCCACCAAAACGAAGCGGGGGACGCAGGGGGGACGGCTTTGGACCTGCGATGCACGTCGAGCCGGGGACGTGTGGAGGGTCGTGCGGTCATGCTTCATGGGTCAAGTGAAGCCCGAAGAGGCTTAGAAACACCATCATGGTATAATATCAAATGGTATTCTTGATGTACGGAAGCTTCAACGTAAAGCAACCGGATGACGAGTCGGTTCCCGTTTTTGAGTATCAGTATGCCTGTCAAGGTCTTTTGTGCTTGACTCAAGAAGACCAGCTTCAGGTGGTGCGACAAACACGACAAACATTGCAAACTATTGTGGTGTTAAATCCGGGTGTGCATGATGTAGCTTAATATGTTTATACATGTAATGTTTCAAGATGTTTGGGATGTTCCCTTTGAGCATCACCAACCAAAGGCAATCCTTGGATCACCAACTCCAGGTCATCAACACTGAGATCATCGCGGCCAAAGCGACGCTCAACGGTTTCTGTCAAGTTCGGAACGCGGTGATGTTTGCAACGTATTGTTGGAGACGTGGGAGAAACCACAGCGGTACCGGCTGAGAAAAGAGGCTCAGAACCCGTGTTATTTGAAGCCACAGAGAGGTAACTACGGTCATTGTGTATGATGCAGAAACCAAAGGTGACGCCGTATAATCCCTTTCAAAGATGGATCAGGTCACTGGATGGGACTCCACTCAAAGGTCACTTTGAAGGAGCTGGATAGTGTGTTTCTTGTTGACTATACAGAGGGACATGCAACCAATTCCTTCGTGAAAGGGCATTAGGGCCTATGGAGTCCGTGGAATTGCTGTTGTTTTGTGTTCATACAAAATGAACTCACAATTGAAGTATGTTTGGAGAGAAGAAGGTGACCAACCTCCGACCAAACCTCCGCGTGGTTGAGGGAGACATATATTTCTTGATGTTTCAGCCCACCTTTTCAGGCCCCAAAATTGTGGTCGAACAAAATCAGCGTCACCATAGCTTCCAAACACCCTTAAGCGACTAAGAGCAACGAGCGGGTCGAGGATGTTCTTGGCCTATTCCGACCCCTTTGAGAAGTACCGAGCCCTGCTCTTCGAGTTGCTCGGAATGTGGGAGAGCTATGGATACCCTCAAAAACGGCATGCAAGGTCGGGCAGTGCATTTCCCAGACACAACCTGTTTGGGACTGGCATTTTCAAGATGGTTTTCCATTGTTTTAGAGATTGTTTTCACATGCCATTCATTCCCATGGATGGTTTGGGGTTCAAGGCCCAACTTCGCCCTTTTTTCAGGCTCCCGACTCCGCCGCCCGATCACCCCAAACCTGACTAGCTCCTGGGATACTCTTAAACCACTTCGCACGAAGAAGATATGTGTGAGGTCACCACCTGCCACTTTTCAAGTCTGTCAAAAGCCATGTCGGAGACCTGTTGACTCGGGTGCTGGCAGAAAAAGTCACTCCGAATCCCGCTCCCAGATGTTTTTCGTGATCCTGGCAGGGCCTAAGAAGCACGTCTTGAACCTGGTTTTGATCATGGGAGCATGTGTACCCCCTGACGAAGTTAGGGGGGAGCTGTAGGCATGACTTGTCACACTTTTTGAGTAGTTTTTGGCCGTTCTACCGTAGCTCACCTTTTGTTTTGATGCTTTTCCAGATTCCTTAAGCAATTCAAGTAAAACCACTAGGGGAAATTGGAGCAGGCCAGGGGTGCTTCAACATGGGGCCAGATGGTATGCATAGATGTCCCGTTAATTATCATGGAATGTTTGGGCTGGGTAACGATGATAATGGCACCAACATTCCCGGAAGTGCAAGTATATATATATATATATATGGGCTCGTGAACTTTTCGGGGCCCCCTGGGAAGCAATTCATGTTCAATCATCTGATCCAAATGTATCAAACCCTTCAACTATTCATCTGATCCAACTATATCATCTGATCCAACTAGTTCATCTGTGTACACATATATCCTTTGCAAACATATCAACCATTTACCTCAACATATCTAACTTGTGACACTCAGTGGAGGGGGGGGGGGGGGGGGGGGGGG